CCGGCATCTACACCCGCATCGCGCCCTACGCCGCCTGGATCGACCGCGTCATGGAGGCCGTGTCCGGGCAGGGGGACGCGTCCTGAGCCACCCCTGGGCCCCCACTCTGGGCCCCGCTCTGTCCCCGCCTGCAATAAAGTCACGACGATTCCTGAGCTGCCGCGGGTGGGGATGGAGCGAGCGGAGCGGGTGGGAGGGCCTGGGCCGGGGGAACGCAGCGGAGATGGAGCAAAGCGGGAGGATGGAGCAGGGGGTTGGGGCAGGAGGGTGAAGTAGGGGATGGAGCACAGGATAGAGCAGGGAATGGAGCAGGAGGATGGAGCAAAGCAGGAGGACGGAGCAGGAGGGTGAAGCAGGGGATGGAGCAGGGGATGGAGCAAGGATGGAACAGGGGGATGGAGCAGGGGATGGAGCGAGGGATGGAGCAGGGGATGGAACGGGGGATGCAGCGGCAGGCGCAGCGGCGGGTGCAGCGCTGGGACTGCTTCTTCCTCCTGCTGCACCGGCTGTGTTTTCCCTCCCACAGGGGGGCAGGTCAAGTCCAGGGAGGCTGGAGCAGGCCGATCCCCTGGGCTGGGGGCTCCTGCGCGTCCCCCCGCCCCTGGGTCCAGGGGGTTCACCCTGCAGGGAGAGGGGACAGGGACCCATCCAGCCCACGGAGAAGCTCCAGGATGTCCCTTCCCTGCGCAAGAGCCGTGTTGTCCCTGAGCTGCCCCATCGCGTCTGCACGGGGACAACCGGGCACAACCGTCCCCAGGCTCTGCAGCTCCCGCCCCGTCCCTCGGAGCCGCTGCAGCAGCGCCCGAAAAGGGCCCTGTCCTTGTCCTGTGGTCCCCAGCGTGGGCCCAGGACACGCTGTGCCCATGTGGGGGCTTTGTCACACGCACAGGGACAGCCCGTGCACAGGGACAACCTGTGCACAAAGACACCGCGAAGCGGCTCCGGCCACGGCGCAGCGGGATGGGAGCAGCGGGAAGGGGTTTTCCTGCAGAGCGACTGCTCCTTCCTGCCTTCGTGCAAACAAAGAGCAGCAGCAACCAAGCATTAAACAACCCCCACGCCTGCTCGGGGAGGGGAGGATTAACCAGGACCCAGATTGATTACAGTTTTACTTAAAGGGATAAGAGTTTTAACAAGAAGTTCTAGTTTCCTAATTAGCCGTTTCGTTTCCTTAATTACCCCTAGAATGGCAACGCAGAGACCTGCGCCACAGAGCAAAACATTAAATGGAGGAATCAAGAGGAACAAGCTCTTTGCCATCAGTGCAATTTTTCACTGATAAGTGGAAACTGATTCCCACATGGAAAAGTATATATTAAATTGGGCTTGTTCTCTCCTTTAAGTGGCCTCTGGGGAGAGCTGGAGGTTAACGAGTGTGGGAGGAATTTGGCCAAGCCACGGCTCAGTGCAAAGCAGCTTCACTGGCCTTTGGCGAAGGGCAGAGGTTTCATGGTCTCATTTCGTAGAGAGGAACTTCAGGGGGATTTTCTGCTTCGCTTTTGCTCATGAATCCACTGATGGAGCAAAGTCAGAAGAGGAAGCTTTTTTTTGAGAACAAAACAGACATTCTGAACATTCTTTACAAAATTAAGGGAACCTTTATTTACAAAATAGCTGCTGCTCCAGTGCGAGACAGGGGAACAGAGGGTTGCTCCAGGGCAACAGGCTCCTGCTCGATCAGACTGGGAGGAAATTGTTCCATTAACGAGAACACGGGTACACTGTGCTGGCAAAGCCTCCCGGCAGAGGAGCAAGTTCACTTGCAAGGATGGAGATCAGGGAAACGGATCAAGGGGCCCGTGGCACAGTTCCCAAGCAGTGAAAGGGTGGACGTAAGGGACTACGTCTTTGCTGCCCTTTCGCAGAGATTTTGTCTGCGTGTCCCCAGTCACTGCAGGGATCACCCAGGCGCAGCCGCTGCGGCGCTCAGCCAAGGGCCACGCAGAGGCTGCAGGTTTCTCACCTTGTCCTGCTTGACTTCGCCTTGGCGAGCGACAGGGAACCTCTCAGCTGCCTTTCGAGCTCTTCCCCCGTCCAAAGCTACATCCCCCGCTCCCTTTTTATGGCACAAAGGGGCGAAGCAGAAAAATCAACGCAAGGAAAACACAGCAGCACCACCAGCCAACTGCTTGGCATCGTCTCGCAGGCGGCACCCAGATGATGCTCTCAGCCTGCACGAAGGAAAATGCTGCTATTCCCTCATCCCAAACACCTCCGGAGGTGCCAGCTCCAAGCAGCTCTTCTACTTGGCGCCCGTTGCTGCTTTTTTGCCCCGCAAAAGGGGCTCTCACGAGTAGCTGAGGGGCATCCTCCTCCACAAGCCCCCGCACAAGCAGTTCTTGACCCAGCGCTGCTCCCACTGCTTCACTGCAGTCACTTTGTTGGGCGATTTCAGCATGGTCACGCAACCACACCTGAAAAGGAGCACACACAAAGGGCAGAGAGGCCTAGGAAAAAAGCCAACGTTGCTGGGACTCCTGTATGAATCACACAGGGAACAAGGAATCAGGAAAAAAAAAAAAAACAGCTTTTGCCCTTGACAGGTAATGTTTGTGAGCAGTAAAAAACAGCTGAGACCATGTGAGCAATTATCTTAAATGAAGAGAGGTTATCTTGGAACACAAGGCTGTCTTGAAGACAACAGCCCCCAGCTGCTATTTATACATAAAACAGCAGACACTCATCCTGTAAAAATGATCTATTACAGAGACTTTCTATTAAAACCAATAATTAAAGCTAATTCAATCATATGATTAGATAGATGTTTGTTCCCTGCACCATCATTTCAAAATCCAGACTCTGCTGTAAAGGGTGTATGGGGACCTAAAAGGACCTTTAAATCGAGTTTGAAAAATAGCACTGTGGATTCTGGTTGTTTCCTCTTGCCACCTCCTCTCCAAGAACCCAGGTAGCTTTTTTTAAAAAGTATCAGATTACCAGTAAAGATTTCTACAGGCCAAAATCTGTTCTCCATTTACCTATGTAAATATTCTCACATTTTTCTGTTAGAGCAATGTCAGGTTTATTCCTTGATGCAAAATTCAGCTCCTAGATGTAATGTAGTTCAGTCACCAACAAGGAAGAATGTAGCTAATTCTCACAGAACTGGGGTTACTTTGCAGGACAAGGTAACAAGATTCTTATTGCAACAGCAGCTGCTGTCATTGCAGCATGGCTATCTCGAGCCAGGGATACTGCTCTTTTAAGAACCTTGGTTGTCCACATTAGGGGAGTCTTAATCATAACCCAACCCGCTCTCCTCCTGCGCAATCACAGAGCCACAAACTAAAAGCCTTATTATAGAAGAAGCATTTCCTCCTGCAGACATAGAAATATTACAGAGCTCTGTTAGGGTGGTAAACAGAGACTGAAAGAGTTTTAAATAACAGAAAGAACGGTTTGAGTTTCTGCCAAGATTTTCCCTGCAGCAAAGGGGCTGTGTGTTTGCATGGCTTACCTGGTACACGACTTGCACTCTTCTGTTGGGTAGGCTCCTAGGTGAAGCCGTCTCAGGTGATCAATCTTGGGCTGTCCAGGTGCCCTGGGTAGGAAGAAGAAGGGCAACTTTTCAAAAAGACTGTTTCTAAAAGCTGTTTCCAGGACAGCCTTTTCCTAAGAGTATCTGAGATTCCATTAAAATCCAAATGGAAACCCAAGCAAATCCCTTGCGCTGATGCACTCTCAGATAATCATTCCCTCCTTGCTCCCAGAAAAGTCTGGGACCAGAGCCTTGGAATTCCCTTATTTCACACTGCTGCAACCCCTTTTGCTATGAGAATTCCCAGAAAGGGCTTCCAAAACCCATCCAGGTAAATCCTAGTTTGTCCAAACTCCCTTATAGTTTCAACCTGATGCAGAACATTTCTTATTCCCTGCTGAAGACACGCACTGCAGTTCTGACTGGAGAGCCTGCCACACTCTGCACCAGCAGCTGCATTTCAATAGGATGAAACACATCCCACACTCTACTACGCAGTGTGTAAACTGCCATGGAATTTAAGGATATGTTGGAATTAATCTAAACACAAGCCTTTTTTTTTTTTTTTGGTCAAATTCAGAGAACAAACCTCCCTCAGGTCACATATACAAATGGATAAGGTAAAGAACTCAGGCATCCCAAACTCACTGCTCTCTCAGGGCTGGAAAGAGACTCTCTCTGTACCTTACAAAGGCATCGAACTGGGAAGAGACAGTGTGACCAACAAGCCCAGGGGCTTTTCCAAACTGCAGCCGCACGAGCTGTTTGCTCTGTAACTTGGTGATGATGCCATCGTTGATGGGCAACCAGTCGATATTGGGAATGAGCAACTGGCTGGGCAGGAGGCAACATTCATCTATCAGGGCATCATCTGGCTCCGTCATGTGATTTTCCTCACGACCTGCATGGAAAATGAAGCAGAGGGAACACCAGCTCTAGCATTTCCCATTTAAAGATTGAGAGAAGCTGCTGCGTGCAGTTTCCTCCCCCATCCGCCAACACACCACGGATAACAATAAACTTGGCAGCTGTATTTGCCCTTTCTAAATGCTACAGACCCACTCAAAAGTTACTCCCCCCAATTAATCCTTTCATGCACGAGCCACATGAAGGAAGGATCCTTTTGTTCGAGGAACCGAGTAAAGCCTTACAGCACAGCCAGAGTTTTGTTAGAAGCCTGAAGAGGAGGGACATGCTGTCCTGGGTGTCTGAGGTTGCTGTGTAGACAGGGAGGCAGCTCGGCTTCAGCAGGCCCCAGATCCGGATCACCACCATGAGCTCTCTGAACATGCCCAGGGAGGCTCCGTCACGCAGAAAACTGTGTCCTGGACGCACAGGGGAGCCCTGCAGAGCAGAAAGAGGAGCTGGGACCGAATGTGGCCCCTCTTCCCAGGCAGCTCGGGTGAAAAAGGCTCTCCTTGGGTTTGGGTGCACGCAGTGCACAGTCTGTGCAGCTCACAGCCAGAGGATGCTGTGGAGGTGAGGCACATACAAGGGTTCAGAAGGGGCTTCAACAAGTCTTAGCCCTTTTCTTAGGTTGCTTGACAGCAACACCACAGTTGTGCACGACTTGGCTAAAGCCACCCAAGCGAATGCACAAAGGCTTTTTTGCTCCGCCCTGGCAGTTCTCACAGAATTGTTATGGTTGGGAAAGACCTTTAAGGTCACCAAATCCAGCCGTTCAACGCCATCCTGCTCAATCACGTCCTTAAGCACCTCATCTACACGTTTCTTGAACACTGCCAGGGACAGGGACTCCACCATTTCCCTGGGCAGCCTGTTCCAATGCTTCACCACTTTCCATGTAGAAATTCTTCCTAATGTCTAACCTGAACACCTGGCACAACTTGAGGCCATTTCCTCTTGTCCTATTGGTAGTTATTTTGGAGAAGGGATCAACCCCCACCTCACTACAACCTCCTTTCAGGCAGTTGTAGGGGGTGATAAGGTCTTCCCTGAGCCTCCTCTTCTCTCCTCTTCCCCACACTGCTCTCAGGAGCACAGACTCTCACCTGGTTGGGAAGGCTGGCGAGCAGATAGAGCACAAAATCTCCCACCCACTGGATGAGCTGCTGCAGGGATTGCAGCGTGGTCATCTCCAGGACAAACTCTTCTGTCTTCAAGTTAATCATCACTTTATCAATGTCTGAAACAGAAGCAAGACATCTCCTGGCTTAGGATGTAAATGGATCCGAATATCCCTCCCTGCTCCCATGATGTAAGCAGAGTTCACCTTTCCTTTGCAGGGAGTTACTAGGAGCCCGTAGCACTTTTCACCTAATCCAAAGGGGGCACAATGTGATTCCAAACATCAGTGCCACGTTTTATGAGCATTCCCTACCTACATCTGTGATCTTGGAGCAGATCTCAGTGAGTCGGTCCCCAGGACTCTTGTCGGGGGTGTTGAGGAAATGCGGGCGCAGCAGGGACTTCAGGGTGCAGCTGATGGCGATGAGGAAGAGCTTGGCGTGGTAGTCACACACACGAGCTATTGTGCTGGAGGACAGCTTGCAAAGAGAGGCCTTCATGGCAACAATGCGTGTGGAGAGGACCTGATTGACAGAGACACACCAGGAAAAACACAGAGGTAAAGGCACAATTACAATGTGTTTATTAAAGCGAGATGCTATTCTTCTGTACTCCTCACTCTTGCTACATCAGTGACAGGAATACTGAACACTGCTCCGTGCATGTATAAATAAACAAGACCAGTCCCCAGTACACTGGGAGAATCTCTGCCAGCAACAGGCTTTACCAGCTCACCTGAAGTTTCCAACAGCTACACTCCCATTAATGTTCCTGAAAGCAAACACTCCTTAAACAGACGTTCTTCACACCTAAATTAGTGCTCAAGCAGAATATTCACAGGCAGAAGAGCCTAGGAGTTAATGCTCACTGTCTTTCGAGTTCTAGCAATTCCTGCTCCCTTGTCCCCACCTCAGAGGCCCCCTGCAAGGATCCAGGGAGCTTCCCCTCGCACTCGCCTGCTGCAGGGCTGCATTCTGGCGCATGTACTCCTCGTGCAGCTTCTCCACCAGGTTCTGGACCATATTCGGTTGGACGTGGAGCAGGATGTCCCACCAGTCATAGCCAGTCACCATGCAATACTCCAACAGGAACAGCAAGTGTCGGAGGGACATGTTCATGTCCAGCACGTGGCCCATGGAGGGGGAGATACGGAGCATACTCAGCTGAAGGGAGGAGGCAAAGGAAAGCCCACGTCAGGAACAGGCCATGGGAAACCACTCCACAAAAGCTGCTGTACAACACAGGGCAACTGCAACTCATGCTGAACTAAAGATACACTTCTCCCAGCAAGGGGATACATCCCTTCCTGTTTAACATGGGATCATACAGCCAGAGTTACCATTCCCAGGAAGTTTTTGAAGCACTGCATAGAAAGAGAGCGCCAGGGATGACCCCACAGAACAAAGCTTGGTACCTTCCCGTGGCTATCGATGCCGGCCAGGGCCAGAGAGGTCCACGAGAGCTGCATGGCTTTGAAATGAACCAGCGGGCCAGCAGTTCGCTGCCTTTTGATGGTCTGCTCGTCCACCGAGCGCTGCGAGGAAGAGCCGTAGAAAACTGCCATCATTTGCAGGGACAGGCGATGAACTATGTGCACGCTGCCGTCGTGGAAAGCCAGGGCCAGACCTGGGGACGGAGGGAGGTGGAAGCTGAGGGAGCAGCTCCTGCTGGAACCTGGTCCTTGTCCCGAAAAGCAGCAACACTCACACCCTGCAGAGCATCCAGGCACCTATAGGCCACACCAGCATCTCACAGAGGCATATGAAAGGCCATAAGTAGGAGGATATTATGTTTTTGTTTATGTTTGTTATTTATGTTTCATATAGGTTGTTTAGAAGCCTTCCTGCAGCTACAGCTCAGGAAATGGAGAAGGCAAAAGTTTCAGGCAGAGGCTACATTTTTATGAGAAAAAAAATAAAGACTCCTCACCCAATCCAGGGAAGAATTTGGTGTCATTGGCTACTTTCAGATCCGTATTTGTTAGCGAAATCGGCAACTTTGGCAGAGCCACAGCTGAAACACGATCCAAATCATTGGTGGCAGAAAGAATTCGCCATTTCAATATCATGGGTTGTTTGTCTCCAACTTTGGAGAGAAAAACAAACAAAATGAGACATTTTTTCCCCAAGGGATCAGAAAATGTCACCTCTCCCATGCCTGGATTTCTGCCCACACTCCCTCAATCAGTGGGTTTACAAATCAAACATGGACTGCACATTCCTTCTACCAGGCTATTTCCCTCATTCTTCACTAATCTCATTAATTGCACAAAGAATAACCTCTACTAAATCTGTCTTGATGAAAGATTCTGCTGGAACTGATTTAAGAAATCTTTATATGTAATAATCCTGTGCATTACACTGGAGTAAACCATGTAGATTTGACTTTATCTTTGACATTAGGTGGAATAGATGTGCACATTGGACACCCTGATTAAACTATTCACTCGCTGCACAGATGTTTTATATTTAGAAGACTGACATCACTCTTCTCAGCAGGGAAAGTAGCTGCACAGCAGAACACAGAAAATGTCTTTTATTGAGTGAAAGCAACAATTAAACCACTTCCTTGAGAGCAGCAATTTGTTGCCTAAAATGTAGGCAAATACATGAAACAGAGCTGAGATGCTCTCGGGGATAAATATGGGATTGAGGATAATCCCATATACGTGATAAGGGATTTAAGGATCTGTCTTACATTTTCACTTAGACCTATTTTTAGGAATATCAGGTGCAGAAACTCACCCACAGAAGACATTTGCTGGAATATATTATTGACTGGCAAGCCCTCTTTCCGGAGAGACCAGCACTCCACGATGCTGTTGTTTTGGTTGGAAGCACAAAGCAACACCTTCAAAAGAGAAGCCTCTACTGTATCAGTCCACACAAAACTTTAAACAGGAAAAGGCAGCGCCCAGTAGTGTTTTTCCCACTCTGTTTTGAGGCTCTTTCTCCAACAGTGAAAATCAGAGGACTGCAACTGCAATACATAATGGTGGAATGCCTAATTCCAGCGAGATGGAAAGCAGAGGCAGACTCTGAAATATGGCACCACAGCCTGGACCCATTAAACCACAAATGCTCCCATCCCTCTGGAACTGGGAACGCAAAGGACACCGCAGGACGTGATCTGTTTATCTCCAGAGCTGGGTGTGGAAGCCCGAGTGGAGCAAATAGCTACTTCCTTTGCTATTTTTTTAAATCCTACTTGCTTAACAGCAGCCGCTCACCTGCTCTGACATGTCCCGAGCGAGGAATTTCAGGTGAGTGATCGCTGGGTATTTGTCCTTGCGGGCAGGGTCCGTGGTGCAGCGCATGAAGAGGGAGGGCAGGATTTCGGTGTCTATTTTGCATTTCTCGTTCACCACGCTGACACAGACCTTGTAGAACTGCACGGGGGAGGAGCTGCTGCCATCCGACGTGGCCACCACGATGTTGCCGCCGCCGGTGAAGGCGACGTCCGCCAAGGCGACGCGGCAGCGGAGGCGGCAGAGGCTCTCCGTGGACGTCAGCACCTGCCCGTTGGGCTTGAGGAGGGAGACGGTCACCAGGCCACTGATGGTCACTGCAATCCAGCCCTCCATGGGCTTCCCGCCAAACAGAGTCAGAGACGGAGAGAATTTCACCCTGGAAAACTTCTCACCGAAGTTGGATGCTCCAGACTGTGAATAAAGATACACAACGTGAGGAGGTTTGGGATCTACTGCTGCACAACTCCTCTAAGTCACTGCAGCACAGGAGGGAGAGCTGAACGGAGACTGAAATCAGGGCATCGAGTTCGTGTGTCCAGCCTCGTGCTGGGATCTTGCAGAAGCCCCTTTGCCCCTCGTTTTAGAGCAGGAAGGTACCAACCCCTCAGCAAAGCTCTCAGAGCACCTCAGAGCTTCTGTGTCCTACATGCAGACTGAACCTGCCAATGTCCCCTCTTCCCTTCTGTGGCCAGACCAGCCTCTTGCACAACCTCTTAGTCTTCTCTGCCTCAGGTTCCCCAGGACTAGAGGAAATGGCCGGAAACTGAAACACCAAAAATTCCATAGGAACTTAAGGAAAAATTTCTTAACGGTGAGGGTGACAGAGCACTGGAACAGGCTGCCCAGAGAGGTTGTGGAGTCTCTTTCTCTGGAGATCTTCAAAACCTGCTTGGACGCAGTCCTGTGCCACGTGCTCTAGGTGACCCTGCGTGTGCAGGGGGTTGGACTAGATGATCTCTAGAGGTCCCTTCCAACCCTAAGCATTCTATGATTCTATGACTACGGAGAGAGAAACATTTCTCTCCTTTGCCAATGACCCAAGCCAGCCTTTCTCACTGGGTCCCCTGCAGAGCCGGGACAAACCTTTTCCACGTGCAGAGCCAGCTTCACACCGTTGTGCAGCCAGGAGAGGGCCACCACGGGGTCTCCTTCCACCATGCTGCCCACCGTGTTCTCCCAGCTGTTGGCCAAGTGCTCGGCCATGCTCCAGCACTTAATGTGGCCATCGGCATCCGCCGAGAGCAGCCTGGAGCCTGCAGGGAAACAGCCCTGTCAGGAACAGTCACCGGCAACAGGAAATCCCAACACCGCGGTGCAGATCTACCGCAGTCAAAAAGCTCGTGGCTACGGAGCCCTGGGCACAGCTCCTGCCTCTCTATAAGCTCTCACACACAAAGAAAGGGGAACAAAGGGATAAGGAGAAAGGATCCCAGCTCACCTGACTGATCCCATTCCAAACAAGTGATGATTTCGGCATGGCCAGAGTTCACGGAGTAGACGTCCCAGGGATGCTCCGTGTCAATGATGTGCACCATGTGCGTGAGATCTGCATGGAAGAGACGTGAGGCGCTGCCCCTCCTTACTGACTCCTCTGCAGGTCATTTCTCAGACCCTGAGCTGTCACAGGGGATGCCACAAACTGCCCCTTATCAGACGCGAGCGCCCGGTACCTTTTTCCTCCTCATTTTTGAGGTCTGTGGTGAAGGCGATGAGATTCCTGCAGGACCAGGCGCACACCAGCGGGATGGAGGGGCAGTGGTTGCTCTTGGGCCTCTTCTCCCACTCGCACACGTAGGCCAGGTCCATGGCACAGCCTGGGGGGCACCTGCACTGGGGACAGGCAGCGTCGGGGGCCAACCCAGACCCACCCCAAGCTGAACTGAGAGGGCCCCCACGCGGGACCCCCCTGCTGCTAGCGGGGAGGGAAGGGCTCCAGCCCCCTCCAGGGGTGATGGGCGGGTAGTTCTGCGGGAAAAACTGCCCCCACAGAGGCATGGGGGAGGATCTGCCCCCCTAAAGATTAGTGTGTGTGGGGGGGGGCGCTCAGGACGATCCCTGTCCCCTCATGGGGCTGAAACATGGGAACCTGCCCCCCCTCCAGGGTGCAGGGAAGAGAATTTGTCCCCCCAGAGGAGGTGGTGGGGAGGGTCTGTGGAGGGAACTGCCCCACAGAGGGATGGGGATGTGTCCCCCACCTCCAGGGTTGAGGAAAGGGAATTTGCCCCCTCCCAGGGATGAAGGGGGCCCCAGAGCAACCCCCCCAAGAGGCAGGGGCGGGGAAACGGCCTTGGTCCCCCGCGAGGAAGGGAAGGGCCCCGGGCGGCCCCCGCGGAGGGTGAGGCGGGAAGGACCTCGCCCGCCCCGCCAGGCTGCCCCGCCGCGCGCCTGCGCGCCACTTCCCGCCCTGCGCCGCGGGGGGCGCTCAGGCACCGCCGTGGACAGCCCTGGATTAAGGTCCCCTGCTGCGGCGGGAGGGGCAGACTCTAATCTGCATAGGAGCCTACCCAGAAACCACCAGCGCTGCGGAAGGAAGATATAAGCGTGGATTTGGGCGATTTTAGAAAAAAAATAGAAAGACTGCACCAAAGAGATAGAATAAATCTAAAATCTTACTTAAGGGCATTTAGGGACAAAGAAACAATATCACCCTATACTGAAAAAAGTCTTGCTTTGGGACTATAAATAAAGGCCCGGCGGTACAACGATTCGTGCTCGCTTCGGCAGCACATATACTAAAATTGGAACGATACAGAGAAGATTAGCATGGCCCCTGCGCAAGGATGACACGCAAATTCGTGAAGCGTTCCATATTTTTTCCCACGTCTCCCCTTACAGACCACGCAGAAAACTCCCCACGGGAAACGCCTATGTTTTTTCGAGGCAGGCCCTTTCTGCTCCCCAAAACCACCCCTGCCACACCTCCATGCTATAGCCCACATCCCCACAGCAACACATAAGACACGAGGAGGCCTTGGGAGCACCAATGTTTATTGATCCTGCACCAACACCCTCCCCCCCACCTCCTTCCCCCCATTTTGTATCACACACAACACAGAAAAGGAGCAAGGAGGGGCCTGGCTTTCACCTGCCAGCCCTGCATAGCCCCTGGCTGGACGGCAGGGAAGGGCCCGGCCTGCACTGCCCGCTGCTCCATGCTGCAACGGGGGCTGAACGGGGCTGGCGGGTGCCCCCGGGCAGGGCTGAGCCCCCATCCTGCACAGCTCGAGCAGCTGCAGCCCCGCACGGAGCCCTTGACACACAGACGAGCACCAACACGCAGGACACACAACACTCCAGGCACGGCAGCAGCTCCGAGTACACGGCCCCAAGGTAGGGGGCTGCACCAGCACACGTACAAACATATAAAAGACTATGTTACATTTAAAAACAGCCCCTTGCCCCACAGATAAAAGGCAGGTCTGCATACCAGCTTCTTACACAGCAACTGCACAGCACAACATCAGCAGCACCAGGAGCAGGCTGGGCAGGAGAGCCAGGGCCTTCCCTCACGCCACAGCATTTGGGCACAAGGGAAGGGGAGTTCCCTTGTCTGAGGCCTGGATGCTTCCCTAGAGGCAGGAATCTCTTCCCTGTCCCTTATCCACCCAGGTCCAAACACCCTTGGATCACTCCAGGCCTCGGTCTTGGGTATGAATGCAGAACTGAGGCAGTTCCCTCCTCTCCTCCAGGGAGGAGCCAGGCAGGGGCTGAGCTTTACCAAAAAGCTCCATTGCTGGTGTCCAAGTGCTGGGGCTGAAGCAAAGCACCGTCCCCTCCAGGCAGGTGACACAGCGGAGGCTCTTCCACTTGCTCAGGGTTTGCTCAGCCACATCAGAGCCGAGGAAGAGCCCGCAGCTGCACCTATTTCATGCCAGAAATACCTGGGCCAAAATCACCCCGGAAGCTTCACAGAGCTCGAGGGGATTCTGGTCCAACCTGCTCGTTTTTAAAAGCACCTGGTCTATAAATAGCCATGCAAACACTTGCAGGCGGGAGCAGCGCAGGCCAGGAAGCAGGGTGAGGGGAGCAGATAGGCACCTGCTTTGCCCGCGCCTCGCGCCCGGAGCACGGCCGTATCTCGCTGCACCACTCAGCCTGGAGCCCCTCCAGCAGATTAAGAGCAGGGAGCACTAGCCCAGAGAAAAATAAAAATAAAAATAATTTAAAAATAAAAAGCAGGCAATCTGGCCTCTGCAGAAAGCGTGCCAGCGGCCGGGCTTCCAGACCGGTGTGACAAGACGAGCAGTTCTTGTCCCCTTTCCACCCCTCAGCTGCATGGGATTCCATGTATCCCTGAGGGATCAGAGCACTGTTCCTCGGAGCAGGCCTGGGGCCACGTTGGGATGGAGGGCACGGCTGCAAGCCCCATGCTTTGATGCTTTGCACCTCGTGCCGGGGCTGCGGTTGCAAGCAGCGGCTCTCAGAGGTGGGAAGGGGAGAGCAGAGGGAGCTGATCCACATGGACCCCGCATTCCCTGCACTGTGCCAGGGAATGTGGGAAGCAGGTCGGGCTCATCGGACGGCAGGGACCAAGCGACTGGGAGAGACCAGGAGCCAAGAACGAAGCCTTCAGCGCATCAAGCGGCGGGCAGGGCGTCCGCCAGGTATCAGCTCATCTGCTCCAGGTAGTCTGAGAGCAGGAGCTCGGGGCGCAGGAAGACGCGGTGCTTGTTGCTCACTTTCATTTGGCGTTTCCCTTCGATGTCCGAACCTGAGGGCAAGAGTGCAGTGAGCAGCCCCTGCCCCTCAGCTGAGGTCCCGGAGCACCCCATTGCGGGACATCCCCGAGGCAGCTGCAGGAGCACCCGGCCCCAGGCCGTGACCATCGCTCCCCACCAGCCACTGGCCAAGCAGCACAAGCGCAGCCGAGGCTCCCGGAGGAGCTACAGGCAGCAGGAGCAGGAAAACGGGGTTATCTGTGAGCCACAGCGGAAGGTGGGGCTGGGAGGAGGAAGGGAGGAAGAGGCTGAGCTGGGGACAAGAGATAGTGGTGCAAGAAGGGGAAAGCACAAACAAACAGGAGGCTCTTACTGGCCGAGACGAGGTCCATGTACTGGCAGAGCGCGTGGAGCAGGAGTCGCTCGAAGCTGCGAGGGAGAAGGGGAACAGGAGGGTCAGAGCTGGAGGGTCTCCTACCAGCATCTCCCCATGCGCCATCCTGCCCAGCTCCTCCCAGCAAACTCGAGGATCACATCCAGGGAGCACAAAGGAGACTGCAGAAATACCTGTTGTCCATCAGCGCTGTGTAGACCGAGTGAGGGGTGACGGAGAAAAAGGCCAGCAGCTCCTCCTCCAGGCACTCCAGGGTCCCCTGGAAGGGGAAGCAGAGACCATTGATACGGAGAGCAAATGCAGCAACAGGCAAAAGCTGCAGAGCAAAAACTTCCCCACGTCGAGGAGACCAGCACCTTGTGGAGAAGAAAAGCAGTTTCTGTCCCCACACAGCTCTGTGCCCCTCGCAGACATGTGGATTTTGTCTTTAAGGAGTTGCAAGGGGCAAGGCAGAGCCCAGAGTACCCTGATCACACTCATCTTCCCCTGCTGTGTCTGCACAACCCCAGCACAGCAAGGCCAGGAGCACCTGCCAGCTACTCGCCGCAGACATCGGAAAAGCACAAGGAAAGGAGCCACCTCTCCCCTTTCCAGGCCCAGCAGCAGGGAAGAGGCTCCTGCCAGCTCCCCGCTCCGTGTGCCAAGCGCTGGCTCACGTTCAGAGCAACAGCAGCTAGAAGAGCCTTGTGCCTCGCAGCTCCTTTCCTCCTGGCAGCCAAGGATCGCCTTGAATGCCGCTCTGTGACCCCAGAGACAAGCAGCAGAAGCAAGTCTCATTGGAGAACAACTTGACCTGCAGCCAACAGGCAGGAGAGGCTGAGGCTGCTTTTAGAGACAGGGCTCTAATTAGAACAAGGAAAACAAACAGAGCAGGAAAAGAGCCCCATTGAGAAACAAGCGCGGAGCACCAGGCACCCAGGGCCCAGGGAAACAAGCGTGTGCACAAAGCGCACGGGCGGCAGCTCAGCTCCCCGCGCCGGGCGGCACAAGGCCAGGCCTGTCTTCCAGCTGGGATTTAACTGGCCACTCGGTGGCCCAGGCAGTTTGACCCCTCTCAAAATGCATTTGAGCTCTTCCAAACGTCCTTAATGGACGTCTCCAAACGGCCCAAAGGCTCCCTTGTTGCCCCTCTTGGGGAAGAGGCTTCATTTCCCATTACCAGCTGCTCACTGAGCGCAGACCAGGAAACCATCGGGTAAAAACTACCAGGGAACACGGAGCCAGGAAGACCTGCTCGCACAGGGAGTTAACGTGACCAGTTCTTCAAGCTGTCCGTGGAGCAGGGCTCCCCAGAGGCCCGTCGCGCTCCCAAGAGCTCAGCTCGGTGCTCGTCCTAGCTCAGCGCCTGCGCCCACGGGGACGATCAAGGACACGGCCCCGGCGAAGCCGCACGCGCCACCCCGGCCATCGCCCCCCGCTCACCATGGGGATCCTGCCCCGTTTCAGCGTGGAGCGAAGGCGGCGGCTGATGCGCTGGAAACACTCCCTGGGTGTGTAGGCTGGGTGCTCTGGAGCCCATGGAGACAAAAAAAAAAAGGAGGGATGCAGAGGGAATGCATGCGAGCACATGGGGAGGAAGGGGAAAGGGTCTCCCGGGCCAGCCTCCCCTCCCCGCACCTTTCCACTTGTCTTCGTTCTTCACAGGCAGCTTCCTCTTGTGCTTCTTCCTGGCCTCCTCCTCCAGGTAGAGCAGGACTTTT